CATCATATGGAAGATAACCCGCCGTTATGATGATTTTCTTTTTGCTCCCTTTCGGGGTGTATATTGCTGCTGCAAAATCTCTAGAATAAAATTGCCATAGAGGCAGCAGTTTTAGACATTTTTTTTTATAGAAGACAGGATCTTGGGTTAGTGGACACAGAAATAAGACTGGATCCTGATATACCCAAACCCCTGATCCTGCCCTCAATTAGATAAGGTTCTTGTATTAATATAATATCAATGTCCTTACCTTTTACGTACTGTTGCAGTATACCAGATGCTGCAATGCAGTGGTGGAGATTTATTTGCAGCAGTTTCATCTTTGTTGTTTTAGAGATTGTTGGGGAGGGCCAACACTCCAGGGTTTCACCAACAGGCTCAGATTTATGGTCATCAAGGCGCAATATGAGACATCCACCCAATCTAAAAAGTGCTTCATCAAACTTAGAGTGGATATTCCCTTCTGTCTGCAGCTAGTTGCTAGGAACCACCGTTACTAGCTGTTCTTTTGCAGTCTTGGCATAATTTCTTGGTGCTTGAGCCTCTCTCGGTTTCTTTGCAACTGGTGCAGAGGTTCCCAGGGATGATCTGGAGCATTTTTCTGTTGTCAATCCTTGCCTGGGTCTCCACTTCTGGGGCCTCACAGTCTTCGATACCGTCTCCCTAGGCATCATCCTTTCTTTCGCTGACTGTAATTTTGGAGCTTTCCTCTCGAGCGAGGCAGCTTCATCAACTGGGGCTGGAGAGGCCCTTGCATCCTTGTCTGCCTGCTCTTGGTAAGTCTCCTTTGCCTTAATCTGCTGCCCTAGTTCAGAGGTATCCATCTCAAGTGACCCAACCTTGTCACCCGGGCCTTGTTTCCTCAGCTAAGCACTCTAAATGTGGCCTCCTTCCATCAGATGTGTTAGACAGAAGTTGGGCTCTCGCCTTCCTTCTGCTTCACCTTCTCACATTCTTGGAAGACCCAGAAATGTCTCACATCCTTAGATACATGATCTCCGCCTGCCGCCAGGTCATCACTCGAGTGTGAAAGGCTACCGCCTACTGTAGCTGAGTCAGGTATGTCAGTCACTTCTATATCCATGTCACCTACAGTTGGGACCTGTGTCATCGCACCTGCCACTTTCATAAAATTCTCCTTCCATTCTGTTTGAACACGAAGTGTTGCTACTTCCTCAGTAAAGGTCTTGAGAGAGTCCCCTACTAAGGAATCATCTAGGGTTTCTGAGAAAACTTCTGAGATGTTAAGATGTTCCGATAAAGTCAAAGCTTCATCAAATACCTGCAAATTTATTATATTAATATTAAATTTGTCAGACATTTTTGTTCCCGAGTATGGGGGTCAAATAGGCTGCAGGTACTACCTCCTCTCTCTTTACAGCTGGCTACTTACAATGGGGTGTTGCCTGGTTGGTGGTCCCATCGGACTTCCCGGGGGCGCCCATGTAGGTGATAGTAGGCTTTGGTAGGGATAAGGAGATCTGGAAAGTCACTTGCAGTGGGTAGGACACTTCTGGGACCTCACAGTCTTCGATACTGTCCCCCTAGGCATCATCCTTTCTTTCGCTGACTAATTTTGGAGCTTTCCTCTCGAGCGAGGCAGCTTCATCAACTGGGCCTGGAGGGGCCCTTGCATCCTCGTCTGCCTGCTCTTGCGTAGTCTCCTTTGCCTTAATCTGCTGCCCTAGTTCAGAGGTATCCATCTCAAGTGACCCAACCTCGTCCCCCGGGCCTTGTTTCCTCAGCTGAGCAGTGTTCCGCAAAGAGTGGGGGAGACTCCAGCACCCATCTCCCTCTCTAGACCTCCCTTTGTCCTACAAATTTGCCCCCTATCTGCCTATTAGGTCCATACAATATTTTTTTAAATCCATTCAATTCAATACAATAATCAGCTAATATAATTGTATTATATATATTACAATTCTGAGAGAAGTTTTGCTGATAATTATTTACAACTAAATTATCAAATTAAATAATGGATACAATATTTAACTAAACTTCTTACAGAATTGCTACATATATACAGTTATTTTCAATTAAATGGATAGAAAAAAAATTTAAATGTGTATATCGAGAACCTTTAACTCTAGTCAAAGCATATCATTTTCTACTTGAAGTCTTCCCAGGTCCTTACTTCCTGAATTAAATAATTTTTCCATTTTCTCCTTTTGTCTTTAGCTCTAATGCTCTAAAAAATTGAAAAAATATTAGAATGAAGTATATTTATTGTTAAGTGGTTTGTTAGTTTTATTTTAATATTGTCAATCTTAACTTAGAGTACTTCAATTAATATGATTTTTATATTTTCTAGTTTTTCTAGTTCTTTGTTATTGAAGATATTTTAAGTTAACATGTCAAAATATCAACTCTTATCATCAATAATTTTATTTATATTAATTGGGTATCATTATTCATTGAATTATCTTCTATAGATATCTTTAATATAGACATCTTTTATCTATATTAATTGGGTATCATTATTCATTCAATTATCTTCTATAGATATCTTTAATATAAACATCTTTTATCTATATTAATTGGATATCATTATTCATACATTCATGAAGCTAATTAAAGTTTGGTTAGAATACTACTTTATTTATTTATTTTTTATTTAATACTGTTCAATATATGATAATGTGTTGTCTCAAGGTGGTTCTTTATTGTTCCAATGTGTCTGATACAACTTTTTCATCTAAGTGGACTAGTAATTTCTTACTTAAGTTTATTAGCAGATATCTTCATTTATATTCAGATCTTTATTTATTTCTATTCATTCTATATTAAATTTAAAAAGAAATATGATCTGTAAGCTTAGATTAGATTGATTCAGGAAGGATTGTGCTCAAGTGATATGATATTAATACAGTTGTACCTCTTTAGATCGAACATGATGGTTCCTTGAAAAAAAAAAAAAAAAGTGGATATATGTAGTAGTTTAAATATACAGGATACATAATTATTTTTATAATGTCATACATAAAACAATTAAAATTATTTTATTAAGGTTAAAGAAGTATTAAAGGCATTTTTTAGGGTATTACATATATTATATTTCAATATCACTACATGAATTTTATCAAACTTTGAAGACTTAATTGTTTCTAATCTATTCCTAAACATTTAGAACATATTATTAATTAACTTAATATTTATTTGTTACATTTTAATTTTCAATCCACTTTTACATCTTTTATTAATTTAACTTTTCTTTCATACTTATAAATTTTAATTCAAGAGTTATGTTCACAATAAGAGATACAACTACACACTGAATTTAAATTGAAAATTTCAATACATATATTAGAAATAAGAGATTCGATTATTTACTCCTAAGTGCCTTGCAATAGGTTTTTTAACAAGTTTTCCCCAAATACTCATTTATTTATGAAACTTTTGTTTCATTATTTAATTAGTACTTATTATGATGTAGGTAAGCCTGTTTTGATGACATTAAATTAAGACTTTTTTGATTTATGAAAATTGTTTTCAATACATAGAATATTTAAAAAATAAATAAAAATTCAAGGTTTCAAAAAATAAAAGTTCGATATATAGAGGTTAAAATGTATTATAACTGTTTTTATTCAATATTAATTGAATAAAACATTACTGAATTCAATAATAATAAAAAAATATTAGTTATTAAACTAATTCAATAAAAAACGTTTTGCTGTACAATGAAGTATCAAGCTAGCACCAAAGTATATTATAAAATACACATTAACCTTAAATTATGATTCTCACAATAGAAGGACATCTAGAAACATATCTACGCTGGTTTTTGAACCAGATGGTTTTCTAAAAAAGGTATTTCATAATAAAAATATGTATTGTTTTACATAATAAAATGATATGATTAAATTTGACAATAGCATTAATAGTTTTAAAATTTCTGTGTGTTTTTACAAAAGGATTTCGGTAGACATAGACTTTTGAATTAGTTTTATAAATTTGGCAATTTTCTTCAAAATAAAGTTATACACAAGAGATGATCAGGAGAAGCACTTTTTAACCAGGAAATGAATGAGCAGAGGCACTTTTTAAGTGACTCTGAAGGTTGGAGACAAGATTAGCTCACAAAAAATCTAATGATATCTTGTTAAATCAGATTTGTTTTAACCTTGGTATGTCTGAAAGTATTGGGGTTATTGATTGGTAAGTTAATAAAAAGTTAAAAGAACATATCATTTAGAATATTTCCCAAACAATGGATTTTACAAGACTTTTTGTATTATTATTATTATTTTTTTTTTTTGAGCTTTTTAATTAGTTTCCTGAGTTGAGCTATCAAAATCTGAGCATTTATACATATACATATAATATATATATAATATATATATATATATATATATATATATATATATATATATATATATATATATATATATATTATATATATATATATATATATATATATATATATATATATTATATATATATATATATATATATATATATATATATATATATAAATTTATAAATTTATATTATGTTATATGTTTCTTGAGCAGAAAGCATGAATGTCAATGCTCTCATAGGGACTCTGTAGGAGAGAAATAAATATATAATTAATTTTTAGAACACTCCAATGATATAATGGTGTGTGTGTATATAATAAATATTATTATTATAATATTTAATTTATAAATATATTGAACAATCTTGCATTATAGTAATAAATTTGATCTTAGTCATTTTATATTTAAAGAGTATATTTGAGTTTTGTTGGCTGATTGTTTAGACCTTTTATTGATTTTAATTCTGAAATAAAACAACTCTATGTTAATATAATGTTGTTTCTTAATTTTCGTTGTTTCATAAAAATTCATCTTTAACTTTGACAATATAATATCATTGTTTGAAGTAAAAAAAAAAATAGTTTCTGGTTGAATATATCTTAAAACGGTGAACAATAATAATTCATGGTACTTTGTTTAAAGTTTCTTTGTATCAATTGACCTGGAAGAAAATTTCAAATAATTTTTTTCTTTATATAGGATATGCTCCTTTGGGAAACACACCAACACTGTCTGGTGATTATGCTATGTCAAGTGTATTGAAGTCCATTGATGATTTGATAGGAAGAGAATCTGACTATGCTTATCATAGAACACCTGAAGATCGTTCAATGGACAGGATTGCATCCACCTTTAGAACGGATGATTATACTTCGGGGGTTTATGAACGGTTAACAGATTTTTCCCCTGTAACTGATTTCAGCACTCCTCATGCTATGCCTCTTCTTCCAGATATGCCTACAAGATCTAGGAAATTATTAGAAGATTTAGGCTCTTCCCCTATAACTGAATCAGTTCTCACTCTTCCCCAAAAGGGTACTTAATGAGTAATGTATTATTTAAAAAAAAAAACAAAAAAAAGTTCATTTCCAGAAAATAATATTTAACTATTTTTCAGCCAAAGCCCTTTTGTAACTAATGGAAATAAAACTTATGGCTATCACAAAAAGGTAATTAAGAGATTTATGTTTTATAAATATAAATGTATATATATATACATATGTATATAAATAAGTTTAAAAATGCCTTTTCCTTGTTTGGTAATCCCATGTTAGAAACATTTATTTTCATTATACATGCTCATTAGACATACTACATTTTTTTTTATGTCAATATAAAAAAACTACAGTTTTTGAGTTAAATTAAATATCAAGTGGAAAAAAAAATGATAAGAAAAAACATAACTACAATAAGTTTACACCAACAATTTAACAAAAAGTAACAATGAAAAACTAATAAAATAATATTCAAACATAAAACATCCAGAATTTACCTTGTTTGCTCTTTGAGGGTTGGTAGGTTTGTAAAGTCTGTTTGACCAATGAAATTAAATCAGTTTTAAATTTAAAAAATAATTTTTCTCATGCCTCAAATCATATTCCTTGTTTCAACGGTATACTTTAAATTAGTTAGTGTATTTTCTTATTGAATAGTCTAGTTTTATGAAGTTTATGTTCAAAGTCATGCATCTGTCCATCTTTGTGCCTATAGAATTTTGAAAAGTTTAAGGTAATATTCTGTGTTACAACATTTTGATAGTAATTTTGTTAGTTTGTAATTTCTGCTGAGAGTTGAATGAACATATCTATGTTAACTGGAAGCATTTTTATTTGGTTCTGTTGTTTTATTAATTGTTGGACTGAGTCTCTTCATATATATGGAGTAGAAGCCAAACTATAGGATGGTTATAATTTCTGATAACTAACTAATTCTAATTTTCTTGCAAAATTTCAGCAATAAGTTCACCAATACTGTACCAGTTCTAAAATGAGAATGAGCAATCATACCCTAAATCATGATTTCTTTTTTAAATTAAATGATACCAATGTTAGGGAGAAAATTTTCACTATTGTAGGTATGGATATTATATAACAACTGAAAATTAAGAAAAAAACAAAAATCCAATTAATTTTTAAAAAAATAGATATCTATAAAATTTATATTCACAACTAACATTAACATAAGTCTCAAAAGTTTCATAGGATTGTATTGCCTGTTATGAAAGTTGATAGATCTAATCTTATCAAATTTTGTGCCAACTTCCAGTATATCCTACTTTCTGGTATAGTTAAGACTTTTGCCTCTTCTTTGTTAATAGTAGCGCTCCATGTATTTTTTTTATAATCTATTTTATTTTATATATATTCTACTAGTGCTAAGTTTTTTACAGTGTGGGGAGTAATGCCTTGCTGTTTTTTATTATTCGCCTTGATATTTTGGCTAAATTATTGATTAAATCTTCTCAAAATCCATGTATCATGACATAAAATTCAAATTACTCCATTTGTATCTAACTCTTTGATGAATATAACCTCCATTTTTATTTGTTTACATAATAGGTTTTTTTTTGTAATGTATTAATGACTGTTACTTGTGAATAGCAAATAATAGCGAAAACTAGTTTACCTATAGTCCATATGTAGTTAAGTTAATCCTACTTTGATGATTCTACCTATCTTCCTTTTTTTTTTTTAAACCGTAATTATCTCTTACCTTATTTATTTATTATTATACATTTTTTTAAAACAATATAGTTATAAAACTGTCACATACATCTCCTTTGTGTTATGTTTAGCTTTGAATTGTTTGTTCACCTTCTGACAGTACAGATCAAGCTGTTTTATTAATGAAATTTAACTTTTATTTTAAATCAGTTTTAGTATGATTGGAATCTTTATTTTAATTTTTTTCTATTATTTTGGAATTAGAGCTTTTCCCTTACAACTATTCAAGTAAAAGTTTTATAAAAATTTACTTTTTAAAAAACATTTATTGATATGTGATGTTGATTTAAAAAAAATCTATCTAAAAAATGACTTTTTTTCTTAGTTACTCAAACAAAAGACACATTAAAAACAAATAATTTATTTAAGATAAATTAAAATTGTAAGCTAAGCCCAATTTATCCTTTCTACTGTTTATTTCTCATTTAACGTAACTTTTTTTTAAGAACTTAAATAAATAAAAGTTAAACTTTTACCTTACCTCTAGAACTTTCTTATAAAAAAAATCGTTAGAACTTTTATTTTACTATTTTGTCTCTAAAAAGTTTTACAGAAACTGTTTAAATGGAACTTTTTGAAAAAGTTCCATAAACGTTTCAATCTCTGGTTTCAACACTTGCTACCACAACGCTCTGTCCTACATACAGATGCCCTTATAGACATATTTGTATACATTATTACTAGTAGATTATAATAATTATCTTATAAAATCTTATCAAATTCTTTCTAAAACTTTGTTTGTTTAATGGAAAAATATCACCATGTTCCTATAGTATGTCTACAATTTTATCTATGTAATAAATGACTTAAAACACTAATTCATAAATTCATCCATTCATGTATGGCACAACATCCCGTTACCGAGACTGGGCCTCCTCCAAGAGCCTCCGCCATTTGGCTCTGTCTTCTGCTGCAGCTCTCCAGTTCCGCACACCAAGCAGGGTTCTCGCATCATAGGCCACGTTGTCCAACCATCTCGTCCTCGGCCTTCCTACCCGTCTTACGAGGTGCAGCTCCTCCATCATTATTTTTTTTGGTATTTCAAGGGTGCTCATTCTGGCCACATGCCCTGCCCACCTTAGTCTGGCCAGTTTAATATACGTGACTACGTCGATGTCTGCATAGAGAGAACTGAGCTCCCTATTTTTTCTTTTCCTCCAGACATCACCCTCCTTTACTGGACCATAAATCCTTCTGAGGACTCCTCGCTCAAAGACACTCAGCTTCATCTCATCCTTTTTAGTCATCGTCCAAGCCTCTGAGCCATATGTCAAAACAGGCCGAACAAGGGTCTTGTATATGATTAGCTTGGTCTTCTTTGAGAGGTACCTACTTCTTAAGTGTCGGCCAAGTCCAAAGACACATCTATTGGCAGCCGTGATCCTTCTTTGTATTTCTTGAGCCATGTCATTCTTGCTATTAATTTCAGACCCAAGGTATATAAAACTTTTCACTCTCTCAAACTTAAAAGAACCTACCTCAAATGGAGAGTTCAGATCCACCTCACCGCCAACTCTCATATACTTAGTTTTCCTCTCGTTGACTTCTAGACCAAGTGGTCTTGCAGCTGCTTCAAGGCTTATAAACGCTTCTCTGAGAGCCCGTTCAGACCTACCTATTATGTCAATATCATCAGCAAAACCAAGAAGCTGTGTCAGGCGATTGAAGATTATATCTTTGGTCTGAATACCGGAGTCTCTTACAGCTTTCTCCTCTGCCAAGTTGAACAATAGATAGGCGAGGGCATTCCCTTGCCTAACCCCACTGCTCACTTTAAACTCTTCGGAGTCGTCAGAACCGACGCGTATTCTGCATCTCGAGCTGTCCATGGTCATCTTGATTAGGCGTACGAGCTTCTGAGGGATGCTTAGCTCCTCCAAGGCACAGTATAGTTGCGTTCTATCAACGCTGTCGTATGCTGCTTTAAAGTCCAGGAATAAATGGTGGGTGACTACCTTACGCTCCATAGTCTTTTCTTGGATCATCCTCAGAGAGAACAGTTGATCAGTCGTTGAGCGTCCTCTTCGAAATCCAGCCTGATATTTCCCCAGTTCCTTTTCAGAATACGGGAGGATCCTCTCAAAAAGAATGTTAGAGAGCAGCTTATAAGCACACGAAAGGAGTGAGATTCCTCGATAGTTAGCGCATTCTGTTTGATCTCCTTTCTTATGTATTGGGCAGATAATGGCTGTTGCCCATTCCGTAGGCATAGCTTCCTTCTCCCAGATGGTCAGCATTAAATCATGCAGAGCTTTCTTGAGTTCTTCACCTCCACATTTCAACAGCTCTGACTGGATTCCGTCCGGGCCTGGCGCCTTTCCATTTTTCAATTTCCTCAGGGCGTTTTCCATTTCCTCCTCATCCGGGGGTTCAATAGAATTCAGGGAGTCTTCCTTCATTACACCTACTTCTCCAGGCACCGTTCCTCTGTTTAATGCGCCTTTGAAATGTTGTACCCATCTCCTTAGTACGTCATCTTTGTGGCTTAAAAGAGTTCCATTTGTGTCTTTGCATGCCGTCACTCTGGGCCTAAAAGCTGCCCTACCCTCGTTTATTCTCTGAAAGAACAGGCGACTTTCATTTTGGCCGCGCAATGCCTCTGTGTCCTCCATGTTCTTATTTTCCCAAGCTCTTCTCTTTCCGCGGAATAATCTCTTCTCTTCGCGTCTTTTTCTTCTATATGTTTCTTGGGAGAGCCTTGTGGGACGCTGAACCTTCTTTCTGTAGGCTTCATTTTTCACTTTTACTGCTTGAAGGCACTCAGCATCAAACCATGGGGGCCTTCTAGATTTAGTCTCGTAGCCAAGAGCTTCTTCTGCTGCCTGTTTCATTGCGTTGCTGCATCTCTTCCACTGTTCATCGACCATAGAGCTGTCATTAATTACTTCTTCATTAAGTTTCGTCTCCACAGCTTGTTGATACGAATATTGGTGGTCTGAGTCCTTAAGTTTAACCACATCAATCTTCTTCTTTGGTCGTTGGTAGTGGTTTTTAATCAGCGAAATTCGTGATCTGACCTCGGCAATGCTCAAATAGTGATCCGTGTCCATATTTGCACCTCTATAAGATCTTGCATTTATCATGTTGGACTTGTGACGGGCACTAATGAGTACATGGTCTATCTGTGATGCTGTTTGCCCATTTGGAGAGATCCATGTTGCTTTGTGGATATTCTTTCGAGGAAAAAGAGTTGTTCCAACAACCAGTCCGTGCAATGTAGCAAAGTTCACCATCCGTAGCCCATTATCATTACTGGTCTCATGCAAGCTGTGGGTTCCTATGGTCGGCATGAGTGCCACCTCCTTACCAACTTGTGCGTTAAAGTCACCAAGAATGATTTTAACATCATTTTTGGGGCAGCTTTCTGTCACGCGTCCAAGTTCTTCATAAAATGCTTCCTTATCCTCCTCA